TATCTATCTATCTATCTATCTATCTATCTATCTATCTATCTATCTATATATCTATCTATCTATCCATCCATCCATCCATCCAGCTATCTAGCTATTTATCTAGCTATTTTTTTATCTGTCTGTCTATCTGTTTATCTAATATCTGTCCATCTTTCTTCTATTTATTGTCTACCTTCCTACCTGCCTATTTACCTTCAATCTGTCTGTCTATCTACTCAGACAATCAAATCTCTGTCTTTCTTCTATTTATTGTCTGTCTGCCTGTGTCTGTCTGTCTATCTGTCTGTCTATCTAGTTCTAGTCTATCTAATCTCTGTCTGTTTTTCTTCTATTTATTGTCTGTCTGTCTATCATTATTTTATATATTTATTAAACTGGCTTTGTTAAATATGGGGCAGGTAAGCAGCCAGCTGTTGCAACCGATTCTTTAGCTTGGGAAAAAAAGCATTTTTAATTTCCAGTATAATATATCATTCTTCTGCACGGCTCTACCCAAACGTAGATGTTGGCTTACTAAATCAAACCAGCCATGTCACCCCTTGTCAGCTCACTTCCCCTGAATGGCACTTCAGTTTCCCAGTGTGTGGTTTACACTAAGGCTTTTCAACTTCCTGACCTCTGCGTTGCCCATTGATTTGAAGGATTCAAGTCAGTCAACTTTTTTTTTTTCAGCCCTGTCAGAACTTCAAATGCTCATTAAATCAATGGTTATAAGTTGAGTCATTTTCTAGCATTTCAAGAATCAAACTTTCTAGTCCCTGTGATGGCACTTAAAAAAAAAAACAATCCAAAATTCAACTGGCTGAGTTGTACATTTGCAAGAGAAGGAAAACTGGGTGAGCTAGTCAAGGAATGACATTAAACCTGATATTTTCCCCCCTCTTCTCTGTCTGTTTCTCTTTCTTCTCTGTAAATTCCCCAATCCCCCTTTCTCTCCAGAAGAAAGGGTGAAGGCAAGCTTGTGTCAAAATGAAGGTTTTTGCCCTGACTGCTCTGCTGATCAGCATCTGCTGTATTGAAGGTACGTATACGTGTCTGGTTTTGGTCACCACGATATAAAAAAAAGGATGTTGAGACTCTGGAAAGAGCAGCGAAGAGGATTACAGGAGGATAAAATAGGAAGAATGTTTGCAGGAATTGGGGAGGTCTCTAGTTTAATGAAAAAAAGGACTAAGAGTGACATGATAGCAGTCTTCCAATATTTGAAGGGCTGCCCCAAAGAAGAGGGAGTCAATTTATTCTCCAAAGCACCCAAAGGCAGGACAAGAAGCAACAGATGGAAACTAATCAAGGAGAGAAGCAACTTAGAACTAAGGAGGAATTTCCTGACAGTGGGAACAATTCACCAGTGGAACAGCTTGCTACTAAAAATCGTGGGTGCTCCATGACTGGAGGTTTTCAAAAAAGAGACTGGACAGCCATCTGTCCAGAATGGTCTAGGCCAGGGTCTCCTGCTCAAGCGGGGGGTTGGGCTAGATGACCTCCAAAGTCCCTTCCAACTCTGCTATTCTACGTTCTATGGAAAAGTGGAGGTTGTATCTTTGACAAGCGGCCAACTCGGTGCTATTGACATCTGAGTAAACATTATGCTGGCTGCTGGAAGGTTTTAAAGGAGCTAGCCAATTTCCACCAATTTGGAAAAGAGCCCAATTTCATACAAAATGACAGAATGTACTTACTGAAAAAAATATTTGCAAGCCTGATTAATTATTCTTGATGAAATAAAAATAATCAATAAGCCCCATAGTTTCATCTCTTTGTTGGGATACAGGCCTGTCTTTTTCTGGCTTAATTCATTCTCTCTCCCTCCATCTATCTATCTATCCACCCATCTATCTATATCTATCTATATCTTTCTATATCTATCTATCTATCTATCTATCTATCTATCTATCTATCTATCTATCTATCTATCTATCTCTATCTCTATCTCTATCTCTCAATCTCTCAATCTCTCTATCTATTCATCCATCCATCCATCCATATATCTATCTATCTGTTGTTGAGGACTATACATTTATCTTTACAAACTGTCCTCCACTTGAGACCAACATGTATGCCACTAAGCGAGATGGCGGTTCAGTGAATTTGAAGACTTTCCATGGCTGCCATTATCAAGGGAATCAGTGCCGTTGTTAAATTAGTCACACCCCGTCATTAAGCAAATCTGCCTTGCCCCTTTGACTTTCCTCACCAGAAGATTCCCCATGAAGGGATCCGGGGAGACACGGCAATCGTCGTAAATATGAGTCAGTTGCCAAGTGCCTGAATTTTGAACATGCGACCATGGGAAAGCTGCAATGGTCATAAGTGTGGGAAAAAAAGCCCCCCACCCCACCCCAAGTTGTTTCAATGCCGGGGTAGTTTTGTAACAGTCACTAAATGAATCGTTGAAAATCTCTTTCGCTCCCTCAGGGTGCGGCTCTTGATTCTCCTCCGTGTTGTTGTCTGTATTTTATACCCAGGTGGTTTAGTGAAACGGCAAGCCGAGGAAGAACCTCAGGGAGAAGTCTCAACCACCTTTACCTCTCAGTTAAGTGAATTTATCCGGAAACTGCAACAGGAAACCGAAGGATTTGCTACATCCATCAAGGAAAGATTTGGGCAACCAACAGTAGAAGACGTCAGGAGGCAATTTGAGTAAGAGCCTGTTATTTTTTTCTTCCTAAACACAGATGCACCAAAGCACCATAGGATAGGATAGGATAGAAATTTGGAACAGAATTTTGGAATGGGATAGAATGGAATAGGAAAAAGGAGAATGGAATAGAATAATAAATAGAATAGAATAGGAAAAAGGATAATAGAATAGAATAAAATTTTGGAATAGAATAGAATTATGGAATGGAATGGGATAGAATAGAATAGGAAAAAGGATAATAGAATAGAATAGTAAATAGAATAGAATAGGAAAAAGGATAATAGAATAGAAAATAGAATAGAATAGAATAGAATAGGAAAAAGGATAATTGAAAAGAAAATAGAATAGGAAAAAGGATAATAGAATAGAATTTTGGAATAGAATAGAATTATGGAATGGAATGGATTGGGATAGAATAGAATAGGAAAAAGGAAAATAAAATAGAAAATAGAATAGAATAGGAAAAAGGATAATTGAAAAGAAAATAGAATACGAAAAAGGATAATAGAATAGAATTTTGGAATGGAATTTTCAATTTCATTGTACAGATGTTGTGCATTGACAATAAACCTTTGATTTGAATGGAATAGAATAGAATTTTGGAATAGAATAGAATAGGAAAAAGGATAATAGAATAGAATTTTGGAATGGAATAGAATTTAGGAAGAGAAATAGAATAGAATGAGCTGGAAGGGACCTTGGAGGTCTTCTAGTCCAGCCCCCTGCTCAACCACAATCGTCATCAATATGAACCAGTTGCCAAGCTTCCAAATGTAAATCAAGTGACCCTGGGGATGGTGCAATGGGTTATTCTTGTGTGTGTGTGTGGGGGTGGGGGGAAGGCCATTAAGTCACTTTTTTTCAGTGCTGTTGAGACTTCGGTCACGAAAGGAACTGTGGGGTAAGTCGAGGGCTAGCTGCCTTCCCATCGTACCTGGCGTTTTGGGTTTTGTTGGCAATGGAACCTCCATGTTCTGAGGCAGTCTACCTTAGGGTGGAGCCGCGGCCCTGGGTTAAAAGCTATTTTGAGGCGCTTTTGTGCGGTGGAAAGCGGACAGGTTTCTTCACCCTTTATTTATTTTGTATTCTTATTTTTTCTTCCCCTCTCTCTGCAGTACGGCGATCCAGCAATTTCAGGACAGCTTTGATCCTATCGCCGAACACATCAGGCAAAATGTAGGCCGACTGTTCACCCTCCCTGGTCAGGCCCAGCAACCCGTGGAAGAAGGCTCATAAAGTCGACTTCTCTCCCCAAAATGGAGTTCTCCATTTTCCGTTGGCCTCGGGGTGTGGGGTGGGGTATATATTGAGCCGAAGATCCTGGCACGTTTTCCCTGAATCGAAAGTGTTGAAATCCTAAAAAGTGGTCACAATAAAAATAAATCTTTCCCTATCCGTGTGTCTAATCTGATCCAATATTTTTGAGTTTTAAGCGGAGAGGTGCTTTGGATCCCAACGGTATCCCGGTTTTGCATTCTGCGCACCTATTTCCCCGTGGTGGGATTCAATTTTTTTTTTTACTACCGGTTCTGTGGGCATGGTGTGGTAGGCGTGGCGTGGTGGCCGTGGCAGGGGAAGGATACTATAAACCAAGGGTCTTCAAACTTGACTCCAACTCCCAGAATTCCTGAGCTAACATGAGTGGAGGAAGAATTCTGGGAGTTGAAGTCCACAAGCCTTAAAGCTGTCAAGTTTGAAGACCCCTGGAATAGATAGATAAAGAGAGGTAGACTAGATTGATAGAAAGAGAGATAGAATAGAGGGAGAGAGAGAGAGAGAAAGGATTGATAGAATAGATAGAATAGACTGAGGGTCTTCAAATTTGGCATGTTTAAGACTTGTGGACTTCAACTCCCAGAATTCCTGAACTAACATGACTGGAGGAGGAATTCTGGGAACATACGTTCACTATCTTGAATTATTATTATTATTATTATTATTATTATTATTATTAATAATAATAATAATAATATAAGAAAATACAATGTCCTACAAAGATAGAACGACTATGGCAAAGGCAAGCAAGGGTAGTACCAATAGTAATAGGCACCTTGGGTACAGTCCCAAAACAACTGGAACACCATCATTGGCATTGACAAATTTGCAATTGGTCAATTGCAGAAGGCAGCTTTGCTTGGAACAGCTTCCATCCTGCGGCGATATCTGTAACACCCTCAAACATCCAGATTTGCCTATCCCAGGTCCTTGGTATGGACTCGAAAGGTAGACAAAAAAGCCAAACCCAGCCTGAACATTTGGCTGACTGTGCGACGATGATGATGATTAGTATTATAATTATTATTAACACTGATACACAAATTTAGCACATTATGCACACAAACACAAATATCAGTTTAAGTAGAATATCAGCATATACATATGCTTACATGCCTATAATATATTTCTCACATTTCATATAATATATATTTTGAACATTTACAACCCTTTGCAGCATCCCCATGGTCATGGGATCAAAATTCAAACGCTTAGCAAGTGGCTCCTATTGATGACCGTCGCAGTGTCCCCAGTTACGTGATCCCCTTTTGCGACCGTCTGACAAGCCAAGTCAAGAGGGAACCCAGATTCACTTAGCAAGCAACCCACTGAACCGATTCACTTAACAATTGTGAAAAGGTCGTTGTCAGGATTCCGGCAGCTACCTATGTGTTGACAGTCGTACTATGGGGCAAAATTCACTTAACAACAGAAATTTGGGGCTCAGTTGTTGTCACAAGTTGAGGACTAGCTTTGTGTGTGTGTGTGTGTGTGTGTGTGTGTCTTTGTGTGTATAAAAATATACCGTGTGTATGTATATTTATACATATATTTAATGTTATATATTTATATACACTGTATATATTATATAATATACATATACATACATTCACACACATACGTATATAATATACAGTATATACATACGTATATAATATACAGTATGTATATAATATACAGTATGTATATACAGTATATACATACAAAATACACATACGTATATAATATACAGTATATACATACAAAATATACATACTGTTGTACACCATACCCATATATACATATATAAAAATAATATGTGGACAATACAAACCAAGCAACCAGGTTAGGGCTCAGCACGATGCGTCATTCACATCCCCTCCCATCACAACCTGCCTTCGACCCGCAACACTTTGGTTTCACACATTCTATACAGTACTTTTCTAATAGCATACAACTTCCGCCAGCAAACATCATGGCGGCTCCAGCTCTTTTCCCTGCCCTGCTCTTTCCTTACGCATATCCGATTGAGGCCCTTCAGCCTTGATGGCTGCGTCGGCTTTTGCTCTTACGTTCTGAAGCCACTTCCGGCCCAGCCTTACCTCTTTTCTCCCTGAGTAAAGATGGCGGACGAAGCCACTCGGCGGGTCGTCGCTGCGTTGCCGCTGCTAAAAACCAACGCCGGTCCGCGGGATCAGGAACAGTGGATCCAGCGGTTGAAGGAGGAGTACCAAGCGCTCATTAAGGTCCGTACTTGGTCTATTTAACCACAGGGAGAATTATATTTCGGAGGCTTACGTGGCTTTTTTCAGCTGTTCCTTTTGCCAACGGTGGCTCCATACGGTCAAACTAAGCCAGAACGCTTCTTTTTCCTTTCTAGTGATGCGAGTTGATCTGGTCGTGGGAAAGACATTCAAGGGAGACAGCAGTATCATACTTAAGTTGGATTTGCAAATTTTGAGGCAGGACCGTGCCTGCCTGAACCATCCCTTGTTGATTTGCAAAATATCTCTTTCCCCCCCTTTTCTGTAGTACGTGGAGAACAACAAGAATGCCGATAACGATTGGTTCAGGTTGGAATCCAACAAGGAAGGTACCAGGTAAGGGAGATAAAGAAAAAATGTATTTCTTGAGAGAATAGAAAATAGAAATTCTTTATTGGCCAAATGTGATGGGACACACAAGGAAAAGTCTTGGTGCGAATGCTCTCAGTGTACATAAAAGATACATTGGTCAAGAGTCAAGAATCATCAAGTACAACACTTAATGATAGTCATAAGGTACAATAAGCAATCAAATCATACTAGGAAACAGTCAATATACATCGTAAGGATACAAGCAACAAAGTTACAGTCATACAGTCACAAGTGGGAGGGGATGGGTGATAAGGAGTGATGAGAAGATTAATAGTAGTGCAGACTTTGTAAATAGTTGGACAGTGTTGAGGGAATTATTTGTTTAGCAGAGTGATGGCGTTAAGGAAAAAACTGTCCTTGTGTCTAGTTGTTCTGGTGTGCAGGGTCTATAGCATTGTTTTGAGGGTAGGAGTTGAAACAGTTTATGTCCGGAACGTGAAGAATGCATGCTGCATCTGCTCAAGCTTCTAGATTCAGTGCTTGGCATCGCTCAGGAGAGAGCAAATGGACCTGTTCTGGCATTTGGCAGTCTCCCTTTGCGTTCTTCAAAAAATTTGGATGCTAGTCCTTGACATATGGCCACAGTTGAGCTCAACATTTCTGTTCGTAAGCAAGACTTTAAGTGAGTGACGGCACCATTTTATGACCTTCCTTGCCATAGTGGATCACTGCATTGTTAAGGTAGCCATGCAGTTGTTAAGAGAATCTGGCTTGATCATATGACCATGGGGATGCTGCAATTGTCAAGTCTGATCATAAGATCTTAAGTCACTTTTTTCAGCACCATTGTAAGTTTGAACGGTCACTAAATGAACTCTTGTAAGTTGAGGATACTTGCATATATAAAAAAGTGGCTTGAATATATAAAAAAGTAACATTTCTTTTTTTTCCCTTTCTGTATTTTTCTCTGAAGGTGGTTTGGAAAGTGCTGGTACATCCACAATCTCTTGAAATACGAATTTGCTGTTGAGTTTGATGTAAGTTTTACCCAATTGATGTTTTCTTATTCTTTTTCCCCCCTTTTATTTTTCTGAATTAATTTGTATTCCTGGTCTCTCCTTCTCTATCTTGATGGGACTTTTCCTCCTCAAAATTGCATGCCAGTCCTTGTCTGCTTCCTTTTCAGATTCCAGTTACTTATCCATCTACTGCACCAGAAATTGCTATTCCAGAACTGGATGGCAAAACAGCCAAAATGTACAGGTGAGTTTTGTGCTTAAAATCCATCCTCGATAGTAGTACTTGACCTGATGCTGACGAGATCTCCTGTATTCTGTCAATTGTGCTTTTTAAAAATCTGGCACTCTCTCTTCTTCTTCTACAGGGGAGGCAAGATATGCCTGACGGACCATTTCAAGCCCTTGTGGGCTAGGAACGTACCAAAATTTGGACTAGCCCACCTCATGGCCTTGGGGGTGAGTTTCTGACCTGTCAGGGAGCATTTGGTTAGAAGGAGAGAAGAATGTCCCAAGAAAAGGAACAAAATTTTGAGTCAGGTTGGATGCAGAAACTGCAGTGACTGATTTCAGTAAGCAAAACAATGGTTTGGGTTTTGCACTTACGACCATTTGTTTAGTAACTGTTTGAAATTACGACGGTGCTGGAAAAAGTGACTTACGACCGGCCTTTGCATTTACGACTATTACCATAAATTCAGTCCAAACCAAAAGTACATATAAATTATAAATAAAAACCAACACAAACCACACTGCAGCAATTAACGAGACAGGGCAGGATAAAGGATTGCAGAACTCCAAAGATAACGAAACACATACAGTTGGGAGGCACCAGAACCCAGACAGGACTTGACAAACAAAGATAATGCATGCTTTGCTTCCAGAAAGGTTCTGTGCGCAAACACCCTTTTTGTCCTGTTTTCCCAGCTGCAGCTAATGAAGGTAATCAGGGCCTTTTTCTCCCCCATAACCCATGTTGCTCCCTTATCCATTCCTCCCTGCGTGCCCTAGGATGCAGCGGGGGTGGGCCTAGGTCTTCCTTTGAATGCCCAGCCAGACTGTGCCCTTCCTCAGTTTCCTCCACAGCCACCGGAGCCACATTCCCACTCCCTATCAGCTGTTCGACCTTCCCTTCGGAATCAGACTCCAACAGGGACATGACAGAACTGTTGTAAGTCCAGGACTATTCACTTTGTGAATTTTTGGTGATTTCTTTTGTCTTGCAGCTGGGACCATGGCTAGCTGTAGAGATTCCTGATCTCATATCCAAGGGGCTGATTGAACACAAAGACAAATGAAGCCCCCATCTCACTAATTCTAAGACCCTCCGGCATTCGGATCCATGATCTTGACTGTCATATATTTCTGTGTCTTAATTTTTTCTTGTGGGTTGCTAGCAAAATTGTGTGTTGCGTCTCTGTAACGAAACAAATGAAGAAAAACAAAATAACCCCGTTGATCTGTTACCATTTCTCGGAGTTCACCAAGATGGATATCACCCTGTTTATTTATTTAACAAAAAATATTTAACAAAAATACCAACATGCCAATCTTTCAGGGCATTAGAAACCAACCACAAGTTGTATGCTGCTTTTTTGAAAGTTGTTTAAAAGTTCATTGAAAACATAGAATATAAAGAACTTAAAACAAGACCGGATGGATTGACCTCTCAAAGAAAACAACTGAAGGTTTTCGTCCAACTTAACACTGTAAAAAAATAGCTGGATTGTATAAAACGCCCGAGATCACATTTCTGATTTGCAAATAAATTCTTTAGTTTGTGCTGGGAAGAAGTCTGTTGCAACTCTTTTTTTTTTCTTGTGTTTTCTCAACTTAGCTTTAATTTTGTCTGTGGCATCCATTAAGGGATTTCAGGCTTTTGGTGGTTTTTAAAAAATGAATATACCTCAAATGAAAGTACAGGTAATCCTTGACTTAACAACTGTCGGTTTGGTTGATTATTCAAAGTTACAACATCCCTGAAAAGGTGCATTTAAGGACCGTTGCAGCATTCCTACATTCAAAATTTTGGCACTTGGCAACAGGATATTTGCATATCCTGTTGGGCAAATCCATTCAGGTTTGGGGTTAGGGCTCCGTGAATTCAGAATGCAAAGTGAACTTTTCCACTGGATTTGTACGGCATTGGTGCGCTTAGGAAGGCGCTGACTTTTCGATCCCGCTTTATCTACATTTCCTGATAAAATACATTGGAAAATCTTATGTGGGGTCAAATCCACTTAGGAAATAAAATATAAAGATCCCTTTATTTCTTAACAAATATATAATAAAACCCCATATATATATATATTTGTATGTATGTGTTTTCTGAAGTTTTCGTGGGTATTTGTATGTGGATCTTTGATTATTCGGGTTTTCTCCCGTGTCTTCCAATTTTATGCGGGAGAAAACCCGAATAATCAAAGATAGATAGATAGATAGATAGATAGATAGATAGATAGATTTAAACGCACAACTATTAAGGCATGGGAAAATACCTGAAGAAACCTAAATACCATACATATAAATACCCGCAAAAACATAAGAAAACATATATATATATATATATATTATATATATAAAATAAAGGGATCCTATATATATATACTATATGTGTGTGTGTGTGTGTGAGAGAGAGAGAGAGAGATAAGAATCCCTTTATTACTCAATGAAAAAATTACTGTTAATAAAAGAAGCTGCAATTTGTTTCCTTGAGGAAAACAGTTAAGAATATCATACATATTGCATGATATCAACTTTTTAAAAACATGCCGCAGCCTCTTTAAATCCCCGGAAAGCGGCTCCCCGTTGCCGTGGCAACGGGAAGCGCGCGTCGTCTCTGCCGGCCGGCAGCAAAACAGAAGCGCTTCCTTGATGACGTTCCAGAGACAGGCGAGCGGAGAACGTGAAAAGCCGCACATACTCCACGCTCGAACGCCGGCTCTCTTAGCGGCGGCGCATTCGGGAGCCGTCCGGCTCGACCCGGCGCCTGCGCAGAAGTCCTCGCCGAAGCCGGCCGCGCTCCGGGCAACGCGCGACGCGGCGCGGGAGGGCGAGGAGGAACAAAGATGGCGACCGGAGCGGCAGGAGTCGTTGCCATGGCGTCGCGCCGGCGGTGAGGCCCGCACGCTTGACGGCCTTCGCGGCTGCGGGGTTGGATTTTGGGGGGCGAGGGGAGAGCCGAGGGGGCGTCGGGGCCGCTGAGGGGGTCGAGGCGAGCGGCCCACCGACCGGGGGGGTTCCCGAAAGCGCCGTTATAGCCGAGGTGCCCCTTCGCTGGGGGGATGCGGAGAGGCCTGTGGGAGGCGGGGGGGGGGGGCGCCGCCTATACATTACCTCGGTGACACATGGGGGGTAAGGGGCGTGTAGAGCGAGGGGGGGTCATTATTATGTAACCTGCAGGCGGCGGGGGGAGAGGCGGGTAAGTCTCGGCCGCAGGGGAGGGGTCCTTGAGGGGGGGTGGGCGCCCCTATTCCTGGGGGTGGACCCCCTTTGCCCCGAGTAGAAGATGGGGAGGGGTCCCCCCGCCATCTCAGGAGGCGCTGGCCCCGAGTCTAGGGGGACCCCCGAGATCTTCCCCAGTCTGTCAAAGGCGGAGGACTACAAAGCCCATCGCTGCTGCAGGGTTTCGGCCCGTCTGGGTGCCGGAGTGATGGGAAGGGTAGTCTCCATCGCGAAGAAGCCCGGGGGCGCCAGGTTGGGGGAAGGACGGGTGAGAAAAGGGGAAAGGCACAAGGCGGTGGGGGGGGGTATGGGGGACAGTCTAAATGAACTCCACATACGGGGTTCCCCGTTCTTCCCCCCCCCCCAATAAAGGATAGTTTATAGATTTGTAGGACTCCGATTCCCATCATCCCCCTGCCCGTATAGTGGCTTCTGGAGGGTGCCAGTTGCAGACTTCGGTGAGCTAGTTGGTACCAAGGACTTGGATAAATTAATGGCCGGGGGCGTGGGGGGAATAAATAAAAATAAATGGACAAGGGGTGTAGGAGACTTTTTTAAAAGAATGATTAAAAATGTCCCGTTGGAGGCGGCTTAAGTTGCCTCTTAGCACCGGGCTTTTCAAAGCAAGAAGGTGGGAGAGGTGGAGATTATGCTGGTGTTGCATTTTGCATTTCTGTACCGTACTGCCTCCCATCTCGGGCTTTTAAAAAATAGAAGCATAGACACAAGACCCACCCCGCTTAAACGGTGGTTAAATTTTCTGGGAGGAGGCATAATATATAGGGATAAAAGGCTGGGGAGCCCTGGGATGTATAAGGGATAAAGGGAAAGGGTAATAATAATGGTTTTTGGCTACACAAATAAGATGCCTTCCTTCCTTCCTTCCTTCCTTCCTTCCTTCCTATCTATCTATCTATCTATCTATCTATCTATCTATCTATCTATCTATCTATCTATCTATCTATCTACACTATGATCTATCTATATCTATTTACACTATCAGCTATCAATCTATCTATCTATCTACACTATCATCTGTCTATCTATCTACACTATCATCTATCTATCTACACTATCTATCTATCTATCTATCTATCTATCTACACTATCATCTATCTGTCTGTCTATCTATCTATCTATCTATCTATCTATCTATCTATCTATCTATCTCTACACTATATCTATCTATCTATCTATCTATCTCTACACTATATCTATCTATCTATCTATCTATCTACACTACCATCTATCTATCTATCTATCTATCTACACTATCATCTATCTATCTATCTATCTATCTATCTATCTATCTATCTATCTATCTATCTATCTATCTATCTATCTATCTATCTATCTATACACTATATCTATCTATCTATCTATCTATCTATCTATCTATCTATCTATCTATCTATCTATCTATCCAACTAACTTTCCTCTCTCCTTCTCTCTCTCCCTCTAAGACCCCAATAATCCTCCCCTTGATTTGACCCTTTTTAGATGCCAAGAACTGCTATTGTTCCCAGCTATGTTGATTACAGTAGTTCCATGTACGTTACAGACACTAGGAAAGTGTCCTCCGTCCTTCCTATACTTACCGTAGAACTTCAGCAAGAGCATGTAAAGTTGAAAGTTTTTTTAAAATCTATTACTCTGCCCGTCCGTCCACCTACCTAATCTATGTGCTGCCGCATCTTACTGCGATGTTCCTCGGCTCTTGGTGATTAGCTGCTCGCTAATAAGACTTAGTAAGCATTGTTTGATCTGTTTACTGGACTGATCCATTGTTCTTTGAGGGAGTTCCCAGTTAGATCTGTTCACTTAGATTCAGATCTGTGATTACTTACAGAGTTGGATTCAGGTGGGAAATTGATTCCTCTTCTTATCCTCATTTTCCTTCCTGGCTCTGTCCAGTATATTTTTCGGGCAAGAAGGTCTGTTAATTGTCATAATTTGTCACAATATTGATTGCTGTTTCCTGACCAGGGTGCCTCCATGGTGGCTATTGCAAAATAACTCTTTTTAAGGATGAGCACAGCCATCCTAAAGGATAGATCTAATGACAGTTTATTGGCACTGGAGCTAAAAATAGCATTTATTTCTGGAGAGAGCTGCCTACGTTCTTTGAAGAACATGTTGCTGTCCACTTCTACTCGTGGACTAAAAATGTATTTGACTTAACCCGAATTTTGGATTAACCATTTCGCTCATTTGCTCAGAAGGGAGATTGCTTGATTTTATAAAATGCAGTGAGCAGATTTTGAAATAATTCTGGAAGGATTGTTAGGATTTTTTTTTTTTAACGTCAGTTAATTTACACGTGCAGTGTAAATACTGCACTGACAATGAAACAAACATTTCTTGCCCACAATAAAATTATAAAATGGTGCCCTTTTGCTTGACTTGTTCTTTAATTACTTGGGTGCTCCTTTTGACATTAAAATATCCAAAGCACCTACCAGCTGTAAGTGTTGCATCCAGCTTCAACTGGGCTTAGCCTGAAATTGAAATTCATAGGAATTGAGTCATCATCTCAGTGGATCGTTGTAGACGTTTTTCAGTTGGCTAGGCAAGAAAACTGCCAGAGTAAAGTACAGATGGTTCTCAACTTAGAACAGTTCACTTAATGAACCATTTGAAGTTACAACGGCACTGGAAAAAAAGTAACTTTTGTGACCGTTTTTCACACTTACGACTGCTGCAGCATCCTCCATGGTCACGTGATAAAAATTCAGACGCTTGGCAAGTGACTCGTATTGATGATGGTTGCAGCATCCTGGAGGGTCACGCAACCCCCTTTTACGATGGCAAAGTCAGTGGGGGGGGGGGGAGCCTGATTCAGTTAGCAACCAAGCGACTAACTTAACACAGTTACGTAATTCATGTGGCAAGTACGGTCGTAAAATGGGGCAAAACTCACTTAACAGCTGTCTCGCTTAGCCAAAGAAATTTTGGGCTCAATTGTGCTCGTAAGTCAAGGGGTATCGGTAGCCTTCCAACAATACCAAGGCTTAGAGAAATTGCAATATTATCGAAGGGAGGGAGAGGAGGAAGAGGACAACGCCAACCACAATTGTGGGATCCTTGGTGCTCTCTGAGGTTGGTGGTTTTCTTGCAGACGTTTCATCACCCAGCTAGGTAACATCATCAGTGCTAGGAAGGAATGGGGTCGCTCCCTGTTTATATACAAGTGGCTCGCCCTGTCGGTCTCGGCGGAAGTGTCTTTGTGAGAAGCCTTTACTGTTGTTATAGTAGCTAGAACTACCTTTAAGCTATAACTTTTTTGTTTCCCCCTTGGGAGACAGGTGAAAGAGGCTACGTCAGGAACAGGTTTGTGTGGGA